AGAAGAACGGGAGAACCGGCCCAAAGGAGAGAAAGGATGAAAAAAGGTGGGAATCTCCAAGTGATGAGTGAAAAGCGCCGTCCAAAGCACTCACGGTGGGCCCCAGCGCCCCTGCCCCCTTTGGGTGACCGTGGAAGTGCAACGCGCAGCCCGGATCAGAAGCCAGTCGGGGTGAGACTCGATCCTCCCAGGTGAGCACGCGGTGTCGGCAAGAGCTTGAGCTAATTTCGTGTATTTTTTTTTCAGGTATCTTTCGCGATTTGTCTGTGTCTTGCAGAGCAGCTGTTTGGCGCGTCCGCACTCGAAAAAATTCACGGTTACGTGTGAGTGTGTGCCTGTGTGTGTGTGTGCTACGTGTAACTTTATTAGCCGTCTCCCCAATGGTGCAAGTCTCTGACTGTGCGTATGCCTCCAGTGTGCGACTGTGTGTGTGTTACCTTGTCAAAGTTATGAAAATGTCTGGGGACCTGCTGTAACTGGCTCTGTTCACGGACCCTGTCCCTGCCTCTGTCCCTGTCCCTGTCCCTGCCCCTGCCCCTGTCCCTTCCCCTGTCCCTGTCCCTGTCCCTGCCCCTGCCACAGTCACAGGCCCCTCTTGGCGGTTGCTGCTCCCCTCGGTCTAGCCGTGTGTGAAATTAGTCTAGGGCGTGGATTTCCATATACCATGCACATAGAAACAATGTGGGTGCATAAGTCTGAATCAAGGATTGGAACGCCAAAGTTTAAATATAATTAAATGTGGCAAAAACAAATGAAAATGCTCTGGTTTTATCTATAGGGAATTTCACGTGGTGTAGTAGGAGTATCTTGAGGAGGAGACAAGGACAGATCGTTGCTAAAAATATGCAGAATAGTATTAAAGATAAGTGTCGAAAAGGGCTTGTGGCACTATCACCAATATTTCTAACCTTTTTTGGGAGTCCTCCATAGTATTTCCATGGAACAAATCCCTTTCCGTTGTTGCTTTTCCAGGTTCCCGTCCCACATGGGTATTTTCCATGTCCTTTAAGATATTGCCGATCTGTGGGCTCCAGAATCTCCATCTGAAGTCCTCCCATAAATCGCTTATCGGAAGCTTTGCTGATGCAAATCTTAAGCCATCACCCAGCAGCGCTTTTGAAGGTGATTTTCAATTACACAGCTCCAGCTCCTCCAGAATCTCATTTCGTATGATAACTGAGGCAAAAGGCGTGGTCATGCATAATTCCTTAGAGGTAAAAAAGATTCCATTTCGCCGCGTATATACTATACATATAGAAAATTCCTTTAATATTTTTGCAAATGATGCTGAGAAATCTCAGGGCGTCCTCGCACCTCGTCGAGGTCATTTAAATGCAGATTGCGGAATGAGCAGTCTGTCCACTCGGGCGTCAGACCAGGCATTTGCATAATGGCGGCGACACATTGCAGCGGAAACGGAAACCCAAACCCACCATCATGGCCCCCCCTCCTGCCCTCCATGGCTCGAAGGCTTCGGCGCTGCGTTGCAGGTTGCCGGTTGCAGGTCGCAGGTTGCAGGTGCTCCAGTCGTGTTTATGACTGCTTGAGATTGCTTGTGCTTGTGGGGGCTGTCGTCGGGGCTGTCGCTGGTGTCGTTAGTAAACGGAAGCTCCTCGCATTGCCCGGTCATTGGGTTTGGGCGCCAGAAATGAAGTGTGGCAGCAGCAAGCGTTTTTCATTTGAATTCAACTGCCATAAATAAGCCAGCCACCGAACAAAGGTGCGAAAGGCAGGTGATGCCTCCCTCCTCTGGGCTGCCATAAAAGCAATCAAAGGGGTGTGAGGAGATTGTTGGAGATATTATAGATTAAGGCTTACATATGTGGCCCATAAACAAAGATTTATTCATGTGGATACAAATAAAATATTAACACTCTTAAAGTCTTCTAGTATGACTTTCCCTGGGTACTGATCAGGAATTCTCTCCCACTCAAAGTTTCCGAAAATATTTACACCTTCAAATTGTCCATGGGGCAAGCTACTACTACTATTAGTAGTCCGGCGTGGTTGCTGGTATTGTTGCGGTCGTTGTTGCTGTTGGTTCAATGTTTATGTTGCCACATCGTGGCAGGGCACGCATGCTGGGCCTTGCCTCAAACCCAGCAGCCCCCTGCACACACACACACACACACATACATGCATGGAGGGGCGATAGGTGCAGCTGTGACTTTGGGTGGGGCAACTAGAGCTGGCTAACGGGTTCGGGTGGGGGTGGGGGTGGGGGCGGTGTCAACCATTGTCAGTTGGTGGTGGAGCCTGGCAGCAGCTGTGCCACCTGCCACTACTGTACTTGGAGAAATTCTGGGCCGAAACACAAAACTTTAGAGGCACTTGTTTCTGTATCACATTCTAAAAATGTTTGGAGTAATGTAGGAAAACGTGAGAAAATTGTAGCTACAAAAACTTGTCGTTTTCGCAAGCAAAAAAGGTAAACCTCAGATTCCCAGAGATCACAACAGTCCTAAAGCGAAGGTTCCACAATGATCGTGGCAAGAGAGTCTTCAGAAAGTCTCTAACTTTCTCAGGGATCTATGTATCCACCGTACTCCTCATTTAAATGAGGAAAAAGTCCATTATATATTCGATTTTCGAGTCTGGTGTGATTTATTCATTTCCAAAAACTAACTTGTGATCCTCCTAGTTTTTGTGGAGTGTAGAAATTGGTTCTGGCGTTGGTTTTGTTGCTGGAGTGGCATAAATATCGTTGCGGTTGCACGTGAAAATTGCATTTGGCCAGCATTTGGCTGCTGGGCTGCTGGTTACACGAGAAGCGGACTGGAGTGGAGTGCCATTCGGTATTCGGTATTCGGTATTGGGGTATTCTGTTACTCTCTGTTCTGTTCTGTTCTGCACTGCACTGCCCTTACAGTCTGTGCAAATTGTGGACTTAAATGTTTATAACGCATCCCCACCATGGCCCCCCACAAGGCCCCCCCTTCCGACCCGTTCCACCACCAGTAACGCAACTCCACGCCGTGGCACCACCCGACTCTAGACCATTTTCGTCGTTTGTTTATTAAGCTTTTCTGGCTGGGGCAGAAATAGAGAATCGGTGGGGCAAAAAAAAAAAAAGGTGTTGAATGCCACTTGCTGGGGCTGCTTTTTATTGCCATCGCACATCTAAGTGCAGCAGCTGTAAAATAAATATATATTTTTATATATACCCATTCCGCACCATCCATTTCTTGTACTTCCCTTTGTTGTAGTTGGCTGTGGGTGGACGGGGCTGGGCCACGGATGCCCGGGAGGATGGATATAAATTAAACGCATTAGAGTAGGAAACCGCAGCGATTTTCCCTTGCGTTTTTTTCTCTCTCTCTCTCTCTCTCCCGCCCAGCATTAATTCGCTTTTCCAACCGACAAAGGCACTTAACGTTCTTGCTCTCTCACCCTCTCCCCCTCCCCCTCTCACTCTGGTACTTTCTGCTTTTTTCTGATTGAAGTGTATACAAAATTTAAATAAGAAACAAATCGAAGTAATGGCAAAGTCCCCCCCCTCGATTGCCACCTCGTAGATGGCTAGATACCAAATACCAAATGCTCAAATGTTGTAAAAGGCAATGGAAAAAGCTTCGAAATGGTGCTGGAATGCAGACGAAGGAAGCTCTTCACATAATGAAAAAATAAAGGAAACCGAAAATCCATTCAAATGAATCCAAATTCATTGAAGCGTTTTTTTCGGTACTGGTTGGAAAAGAAACCAAAAGGAATTAATGGCAGGATACTGCCGCTTATCAGGCACGTTTTTTACCTGCCACAAAAAAACAGTCAAGAGTATCATGGGAGCACAGAAACAGTGGCATGCCCCAGAGAGCCTCCGTGTCAACAAGAAGATGGAAAACTACCAACTATTGGAGATATCTTGGGATTGTTGCCATCAAAAAGGCATACTCGATTGTATTAAGATGATATCTAACATAATATGGTTATACTCGTACATTTCCAGCTAATATCAATATCATTTGAAATCTTCTTTCCAATTTCCATGGCAATCACTATCCCTAGACAAACATAGATATAAATGAAACACCAAGAGAGAGAGAGAGAGAGAGTCCCTTCCCCTGGCCCCATCAATGGCAAAGTCAGAGCCTCGGGGCGAGCTCTTAAATGGAATGACTAACCATCTTAATCACATCACATCACATCACAGATACCGTGGCAACACCCGCACGGAGCATTCTGTGCGGCAGCTGGCGGAGCTAAACGTTTACTCGGGCGATTTGGAGATGCCCGCCGACATTTCGGCAGCTGTCAGTTGTTTGCCACTAAACGCTTACAACCAGCCAGTAAAGTGCCCCGGCGGAGAAGGGAAAAGCAAGAAGAAAGGAACATTTTATATATAATCAAATAGCAGCCAAAAAACGGTTCTGTGGCCAGGGGCAGACGTCTTCTTCGTCTGGCGTTTCTCTGTTCCGCATTCTGGCGCTTTAACTTCCGTTTCCGCTTTCCCTCACTCTCACTCCACACTCCTTTTCATTGTCTTCTTTCTCTCTCTCTTTTTGGCACTTTGCATACAAAGTACAGTTAACTAGTGGCATCAGTTTTTCACACAACAGCCCTCCGCTGATGGTTTGGCGGTTTTTCCACTGATTTCCATTCCCGGTTCGCCATTGAAAGCCAATAAAAGGAGGGCAGAGCCTGAAGATTACCAAAAGCCAAGTGATTTGACCAGGGGTGTCCTCTTTGGATTGAGGTGGATATTCCTTTTAGATGAGGTGGGAAAATGTCCCCCTTGCCTTGCCTAAAACTATTGAAGAAAATGCGTATATCAGGGTGGGGCTATCCTACAAGGCTCTTGTCCTTTCGAGGCGCATTTCGGTTACCATTTGATGTCTCATTGGCAATAGATCTACTCAACTTTTCCCTCTCTTTGTACACATATTTATGGATTTCTTCGGTGATCGCTATTGGAAGGTTCTATAGGTTATGTCTCCTTGGAAATATCCCTCGATACCCATACTTTTAACAATTTGTATTCTCCCAATAGGCAAAACAGCTGCTTACTTTTCCAATGGATTACATAGTTTAAACATCATTTGAACAGTATTCCAAGAGAAGAATTTTTACATCGAAAATAACGAAGAATTTAGGCACATCCTACCAGATACAATACGGATACCTTGAATAAATTAAGGAAACATTTATAAATACTACATTTCATAAGCTTTACTGCCTCTCACCTGGTGTCCTAGAAGCTCTCATCTTTCGCTTTTAGCAACTGTATTATGCAGTAAATTATTATCACCATAGTATCGTATATAATGAAAAATAGTACCGCAACGATGCCCAATCGTAGGCCTTTTTGGAACAGTTTCCAAAGGGGCAACATTTGAGAGGAGTTCGAACGATGTTTGACGTAGACGTAGAATAGATTTCATTTGTGAATATGAGTGGAAGGTCGCGGATACACTTGTATTCATCAGCGGTTTGGTCGGGTCACTCGGGGAGTGGCCCCAAATCCTCTTCAGCTTTCTCATCCGGCATATCATTTCCAAACAAATGCTGTTTCAAGTGCTCGTTATACACCCGATTAGCCATTGCTCTGACTGCTACAGTGACTGTCGTCGCGTCCTCCACCGTGGTGGTCTTCTTCCCCGACTTGTTGTGGAAGAAGACAAAGTATATGACCAGACCGCCTACGATCAGTATCCCGATTCCCGAGCAGGCGATGCAGAACAGCACCTTTGTCCCCAACTTAAGGCAGCTGAAAACGGTTTAAAAATAGTCAAATTTCTGAAATGGTTTCGAGGAACACTTGCTTACCAGCATAGAGCAGATCCGATTATTCCGACACACATAATTTCTGATTTTGAAATGTAAACTTTTATTTGTTGAAATTTATTTAACCAGAAATTACGAGCATTAGTGATAAAGCAGGGCCTCCTCCATGTCGGGGCATATGCTCTGGGGTGAAATGATATAAATTTCGGGCTTATTACTGTCGCAAAACAATTGGAATACTTTGCCCATAAAAATGATAACCCAACCCACATCCCCAGCCACGGGACTGACTCCATTAGGCATTCCCTTCGAGTGAGCATATTTTGGCTTTCAGGCAAATTATATTTTATGCCGTTTTCTTACAAAAATTCCTCTTTTATTGCAAATGGTACGGGAGATTCGATTAACTTAAGCTGGCATAAGGGTTGGCCCACGCTCTCGATTGTCGTTGCGGGCCCGCTTGGAAATTTAGAGAAATAAAATAAAATAAAATAAAAAAAAAGAAAAACTCACAGAAGGAAAGTAAAGAAAAGAGAAATGTGCTTTCTTGCCGCATAATCGAAATGTATTTTGCCTCTTTATTGCCTTGCCAAAGGTGAGTCCTGGCCTGGCCAAGACAATGGTGGGGGTCTAAGGGCTGCCGAGTGGAACGAACGACTGTCTGGGTGGGCCTGGGCCACGTTTTGTGCGGGGCGATAACAACATTTTAACGCCTTATGGTCCATTTAGGTAAAAGTGCCGATTACGCTCGGCTTAACCAGAAATTATGACCCCAGAGCCGGCTGGGCTGCGGCAGGAACTTTAAACGAAGCCAAGATTCCCCCAACAAAAGGCTTTCTAAGCATCGGATAAAGTTGGGGGTTTGCTGCCGATTGGCTGGCAACAGAAGGGGATTTTAAATTTAAAATCTTAAGCATTGAAATATATGTGGTTGTCTTGGAAATGATTTTGTGCCAGGAAGTTCTTGAAAAATATATTTATCAACAATATTATTACCAGCCATCGACAGCCACGAAAGCTGTTATCAAACTGAATGCCCTGGACCGCTTCTGAAATGATGAATAGATTCCATAGCTTATCGGCTTAGATATTAGTTTGTAGATTGCCAAAACACCACCAAAATACCGTCGGTGGATAACCTACCATGGATATGGCAGAGTAATCTTATTCAAATGTTTGTTCCATACTCTTAGGCGCATCTTTTCTCGAATCATTTAAATAAGCCAAGTAAGTATTTGATAGCATAATTTCAAGCCGTACACAACCAGCCCAGGCGGATCTCTAGCCAAATACTCGGCTGCAACGGCTGTGCTTTATGTGGCATCAACGAGGCGTATGCGCAATTTATTTGCATACGAAGGACCGACCGGCATTGCGTAAAAATTAATGAAAGGCAATTAAAAGCATTCGGAAATGTAATAATAAAATGTATGCCAGCAACATATTAAATGCGGCTCTCGAGGACAGGCACTGCAGTGCACTCCGATGACCTCCTCTCCCCTCCTCTCCACTCGACTCCCCTGTCAACGGCAAATAAATATTGTATTTTGGGGCTTTTGGGGAAATGCACAAAATATTGCAATACGAGTAATAATGGAATGATTTCGTTTGTGTAACCCCCGGTAATTTAATGCTATTTGTTAGATATATGTTTATGCCTATGAAAATTGAATTGCATTTCGTTTTCGCAATTGTTTTTTTTTCCCCCCCGTTTATTTGTTGAAAGTTAAATTGAATTTGCTTTTGGGTGTTTTTGGATTTCTTGGCAATCAATTGCCATGACAAATGTTTCTGTTTCTGTTTCAGTGGTTGTTGTTGTCGCTTCTGCTTGCCGTTTGGCTTGTATTTGTCAAGTGGATATACCCTTTCTGGAGGGGCATGTAGTGCTGAATGAGTGGCTGGGAACTCGGATCTTCTGGAGACACTTTAAAAGGGGGTATTCCCAATGGGAAGCTGAAGATTCGAAATCTATAAGTTCTTGTAATTAGAATATCCATTTTAAACCCTGATCTGTTTGCCCTGATAAGGTTCTGCCACCTTCTGTAGAGTATTCCCGCTTAGGCTTGGTTTGGGGGCCCGGTACTTGCTTTAGTTTTTATCCCTGGAAAAGGAAAAGGGCCACTGGGCAGGGAATCTTGTGCATTATTGCGATTTTACACGCTGCTGCACTCGAAAATGAAACGGACAATAAGCTCCACTTGGCCAGAATCAGCAGCGGGCGTGGTGTGGTAGTGGTGGCAGGGTCAGCGGCAGGAAGGCGTGGCATCGTGGCATCGTAGCATCCTCGCCGACGTTCTGGCCATCATTGCCACTGTCCGCCGCTAAAAGCTTTTTGATTATGAAAAATGTTCGAAACATATGCTCCAAATGACTGCAAAGCGTGCGAAGAAAGTTCTCTCTCTCTCTCCCTCTCTCTCGGACTCTCTCTCTCTCCCGTTGAGCATCGCATCGCTGACTGGCTGACTAAGTTTTGTGCTTTTTACAGTGCATCACAGTAGTATATGTACCTCTTGCAGACACTCGTATATATGTTCTACACGTACTCAACATTGTGTAAGTAAGCATGTTTTATTTCGTTGCAGCTTTTCAGTGGCACTTGGACCTGGATCCAGCTCGGGATCCTGCCCCCCCTCCCACTCCCCCTCCCACTCCCACTGGCGGTCCTGTTCACGGCTCTGCTCTCGACTTGTCCTTGTTTTCGTGTTGCTGTTGCTGTTCTTGTTTATTGTTTATTGTGGCTTTGCCTGTTTTTTAGATGCCTTCTGCTATTGTGGCTCTTGGCTGTTAGTGGACTTTGCTGGTGCATTGTTAATGGTTGTGCCATTTTATTTTAAAATTAATAAAGTGGCCGACTTCGAGAGTCCGAGAGTCCCAGAGTCTGGGCTCGAGTAAATTGCAGAACAAACTTCATTCGAGGCTGCTTTGTGCGTGTGTCGTTCCAAAACAACTTGCAACAAATTGTGGACGCTGCAAATGCATTTTTAATAAATCCTACGATTTGTGGGTATTTTCTGTAGATCGTTAATATGGTTAGGGGTTTCTTTAAGCTGAGTTTTCGGTACATAATGCTGAACAGATACCAACTGTTTACTTAAAGAGAAGTTTCCTAGAAGTATCAGATCGTTGGGCTCCCCTGGGTCATATATTTAGACACATACGAAATGATTTCGGGCACTTTAAAGATCAGATCAGCGGGGCCGCCCTGTTGCTTCACTTGTCCATTGACCTGTGTGTGTGGATCGTCCACGTCATCGAGGGGTCTGGAATCTCGAAACGGAAGTAGAGGTGTCAAATCCTTTGCCCAATGTCCAGGGATGGCCAGCAGCTCAGAGAAGTGCAGAAGTAGAGTACTGAATCCTTACCAGGTTGCACTGATCCAATGCCAGGCAATAGCCCGAAACCTACTTCATGGAACCCCTTTGATGGTGTGGATTCTCATTTAGGGAATTACATTTTATAGCCCTCAAACAGTTCCCCTCATGCGGCGACAGCCATAATGGTTGATTTTAGTCAGAGAATGGAAAGGCCAAGATATTTCCTACATTTTCAGATGAGTACATTCCGATATGACGTATTTATGTATACATTACTCGTGTTTTATTAACATCTCTTAACGAAAAAGTTTGAATATCACTCCCTGAAACATCGGAAAGGCCTCTAGATGTTATACCTACGACTTTAATAATCTGTTGTTCTTTCCGTCTCTTATTAATAGATACCAGATACTACTACACACTAGACATGGATTAAAATAGCCCACAGCATAGTCTTTTCATAATTCCTACATATACTGTCCTCCCATCAAAGAGTTCTTCCTATGTGTTCAGTCGTTCCGCTCATAATAATTGATCCACAGACTTAAATCATGAATTCCCCACCGTCACCGTCACTGTCACTGTCTCTGTTTCAGTTCAGGTTGATATGGGAAACCTCCCACATTGACAATCCAAAATAGAAATACCCTCACTCATTATTGTTGGATCCCCACATGCTGAGCCTCTCCGACTGCCAGTTGACAGGCCGTTCATCGGGGTCTAAGCATGTTTGCCACTTAGGGAGCAATTAGGCGGGAAAGTATGCCTCGGACTACACGTGCATCGATCTCTATAAATCAGGGAAAGGCTCCTCCACCCATCCCCGATGCGTTGGTAATTGAATGTCTCCGCGGAGAGAGAGTGCATTAGCCTTTGTCTAGGAGAAAGACCAACTCGGAGATGGGCATAGAAAGAGCGAAGAGTGTGGCATCAACACGTAACCGTAGCTGCAACACAAATGTGTTGCCGGAACGAACAACTGAGATCTGTGTTGCTTTTTGTTGTTCTCTTAGTATTTTTAGAGCAGCGCAGAGCAAGTGAGAAGGCTAGAGAGAGAGAGAGAGAGAGATGGAGGGATAGTCCGTATGCCGTATGTGTGGTGGATCGTTTTATGATATTTTTAAACGATAAAAACGCTGCAGGCGAAGTCAAGTGCATTAAGAGCTCTGCTCTGGTGTGCTCCGATGTGCTCTGCATTGGCATCAAGTGTCCGGGGGTAACCAGCAACAGAGATTCATCGTCCGCCAGACCAAATGAAGCCATTAGCAAACAGAACTTCTGGCCTAAATATAAACTCTCCAATGAAGTTGGCTATACGCTATATTTGGCCAGTGCCAGTGGCCCCAGGCCCCAGGCCCCAGCTCCAGCGATCTCGAGTTTCTTTTTGGGGATCTCGATCTCCCAGACTGGGGCTGTGCCCACGGCTTCCTTGCCACTCCGCTGTAGGCACAGTTCTCGTGCATGTGTGTCGCCTGCAAGTTTTCCAAGCGTTTCGGCGTTTCGACGATTTGCCGATTCCCGTCACGATTTAGCATTTTTCATCAGCTCAGCGATTTTCATGTCACGTTCGCTGACAAAGTTTCCACCGACCCCCCCCCCCCCCCCCCATAACCTTTCCCTTTCCACAAACTCGCTCAGGCTTATCCTTGAGTCGCATCCTGGCGCGAAGTTTCAAACATCGTTGCGGCGCATCTTTTGTGGCCATATATATATATGTATATAAACTCTTGTATCTGCTATTTGCCCTGGGCCCTGGCTCACTCCAGTCTCTGACTTGTCCCATTCGAAGGCTC